GCTGGTGCTCCCGTTGCTTTTGGCATTGTGGTTGCCATCTACAGTGGTGGGAGCGGCAGAGCTGCTGTTGGTGCCGAAATGGGGGACCCAGCTGCTGCTGTTTGAGGTGACATTGATGTGGGAGATGGCAGGGGTGCGGAGGACAGGCCCCACAGTGTGGTTGGACACGGCGCTGCCTGTGGAACTGTTGCCAAAATGGAAGTTCGTGGTGTTTGTGCCAGGGAACACTGTGGCGTAGGGGAAGGTTTGGGGCCGCCTGCTCCCTGTGCTTTTGGGGAATAAATTTGGGGGCAAGGTGGTGGTGGTGCTCGTTTCCGTGGTCATCTCCATGGTGGTGGTCTCGGTCGTTTCCATCTCCATGGTTGTCTCAGTGGTCATGGCACGTGCACCTGGAGGAAACGCCGGGAGCTGGTGGCTGCAGCCCAATTTGGGAAGGTTTTACCCAATACAGCTCCTCAGCCGGACGCTGCAGGACACACCACGACCCCAGGAGCCAACAGCCAGTGGCTCCGTCTACCCACGAGGCAAACGAGACCTTCAACAACGGGGCTGGTGCTGGGCACATGTGGCACCACCGAGGGTCCAGGTGCCATGTCCAGCCCTGCAGACCCCCACCCCGGGCTGTCCCTGCCATGCTCAGGCTCAGCCTCACTGCCCAGTAAAGCCTCCCTTGCTGTGGGTGACCGGGTGCGGCGTCCCCTCGCCCCCTGGACCTGCCCGGCCTGGCCGTGGGCCAGCACAGGCAGCTCCCGGGCAGGTTCCCAGCGGCTGCTGCAGGAGCCGGCGGCACTGGAGGAGAGCCCGGGGTCCGGGTGCTCACCGGGACACACCTGCATTCCAGCCTGCGAGTCCCGGGCACAGCCTGCTCCGGCTGGTCCCGGTACAGCCCAGCCCTTGGCCGAACCCTCCGGACAAGGCAGAGGGGCTGCAGTCTGAGCCCCCAGCTCCCGGTTTTCCTGAGCACAACCGGCCGCGGGGCGCTGCGCCCCGGAGGATCAACGGGAGAGGTGACAATGTCCCTGCAGCCAGCATGACGCCGGCTCCGGTGTCCCCTGGTCCCCACTTTGAAAGTGATCCCGCTCCGCTCCCCGTGCCCCGATATCTCCCCTCCTGCCCGGCTCGAGGTTCCGCCGGCCGCAGCCCCTCACCTGTGCCCAGCACCAGCAGCAGCAGAAGGGCAGTGAACGCCATGGGGCTGCTCCGGGAGGGTCCCGGCGCCTCGCTGGGCTCTGCTGGGCGGCGGCTGCTCTCCCGTTAGCCGGCGGCACACGCCTCGATGCAGGGATCCGGAACTGGCAGCTCGACAGCGGCCGGAGCTTTATAGAGCACCTGGAGCAGGTGGGGAGGCCCCACCCCGCCGCCGGCTCCAGGGAGGGGGGTTCGCTCTGCCCCACTTGGCACAGGGGTGCCACCGCGCCGATGGGGTCCCCGCAGCATCTCCCACCCGGGTTGGGTCCCCCGCGCTTCCCTGGCGTGGGGGGACACCGCTGGCAGTGTGTCCCCAGCCTCGGGTGTGGGCACAGGACGCGACAGGAGCCGGGCATCGCAGAGCAGCGGCGGGAGCAGCATCTCTCTGGCCCCGTGGGCAGAGTCACGGCCCTCAGGACCCGGTGGGGGGCACAGAGGGGACACAGGGGGCACAGGGAGCACCCCAGCCCCTCGTTCAGCGGGGGGGGCCTCATCCTCTGGCTCAGCCCAGGGTTAATCATTAGCGGCCGGCCATAGCCTCGCCCTACACTCAAATAAACAGCGGTGACTCCCCCGAAACGCTTACGCAGGTCCAGCCAAGGGCCCCACCACATCCCAGGAGCTCCCAGTAACCYCCCTGCGGGGCCCCCCCAGCAGGTACAAACCCCCATCCCCGCTCGGGACACGGGTGATGCCGGGTGCCGCCCTGGGTGCCAGCGCCCCACCCCAGAGGTAACGGGTACCGCTCGTGCCCGGGTACAGGTGACACGTGCTCCTGGCACTGCCTGGCATCAAAAGCCACTGTGGTCCCTCCCTGCCCCTGCCCCTGCCCTGCGGAGAGTCCTGATCCCTGGGAGAGCCCCAGTCCCTCGGGAGGGGGCTGATTCCCGTGAGGGTCCCGGTTCCTGCGGAGGATTTGGTCGGGATCCCCACACTTTTTTTCCTGCCCAGCCTCGTGTGATGTTAAAGTGCCACCCCRGTGAYGCCAAAGGGTTCTGAGGTGGTGCCRAAAAGGGGGCAGAGAGGAGGGACCAGAGAAAGGGATGGATGGCACAGGTATCCGTGCAGGTGGGAGGGACCCAGSAGCACCCTGGGGGGCTGAGGAGCAGGAGGGGGTCCCTGGGGTCCCTGAGGTCACTGCTCTCTCGTGGCAAACACCTCACCCACCAGCCCTGGGGGCTGTTAGCCCGTCCTGTCCATGTCCAGTGGGTCCCATGTGCCCACCACCATCGTGCCACGTGGGTCCTGTGTCCCCATCCCTGCAGTGCCTGGTGGGTCTCATGTGTCCAGCACCCTGTGTGTGTCCAGTGAGTCCCATGTGTCCACCCTGTCCACGTCCAGTGAGTCCCGTGTGTCCACCCTGTCCACGTCCAGTGAGTCCCGTGTGTCCACCCCCATCATGCCCAGTGGGTCCTGTATGCCCACCCTGTGTCATGTCAGTCCCATCAGTCCAACCCCACCGTGCCAGTGGATCCCGTGTGCCCAACCTCACTGTGTCCAGCAGGTTCCATGTGCCCACGCCCACCAAGTCCGGTGGGTCCTGCTTGTTCACCCTGTCCATGTCTGTGGATCCCCTGTGTCCATCTGTCCGTGTTCGGTGGATCCCTGTGTCCATCTGTCCGTGCCCGGTAGATCAATCCCCTGTGTCCATCTGTCCGTGTCCGGTGTGTCCCCTGTGTCCATCTGTCCATGCCCGGTGTGTCCCCTATGTCCATCTGTCCATGCCCGGTGGATCAGTCCCCAGCGTCCATCTGTCCATGCCCAATGGATCCCTTGTGTCCATTTTATCCATGACCGGTGGATCCCCTGTGTCCATCTGTCCGTGTCCGGTGGATCAATCCCCTGTGTCCATCTGTCTGTGTCCGGTGGATCCCTGTGTCCATCTGTCCGTGCCCGGTGGATCAATCCCCTGTGTCCATCTGTCCGTGTCCGGTGTGTCCCCTGTGTCCATCTGTCCGTGCCCGGTGGATCAATCCCCTGTGTCCATCTGTCTGTGTCCGGTGTGTCCCCTGTGTCCATCTGTCTGTGCCCAGTAGATCAATCCCCTGTGTCCATCTGTCCGTGTCCGGTGGATCCCTGTGTCCATCTGTCCATACTCGGTGGTTCCCCTGTGTCCATCTGTCCGTGTCCGGTGGATCCCTGTGTCCATCTGTCCGTGTCCGGTGTGTCCCCTGTGTCCATCTGTCCGTGTGTCCCCTGTGTCCAT